AACGCACAGCAGAGCGTTCCCTCCTGTCTATCGGTTTGTGCTTGATCTGTTTTTGTCCAGCAACCTCGCCGTGCAAGGCAACAGCGGCAGCGAGAATGGGGGTGGAGGAGGAGGAGGGAGGGGACGTATCACGATAGCACAGCAACTCTGCGAAAGGATGGGGTGGACAAGGATGATTTGTAATTTGTGAGCTTTTTCGTGGAACCGTTTCACACCACCGCCTTTAGGAAATAACAATGGACTTTCGTTTTCGATTGGTGTTCACGGCTCTAAATCTGTAACCTATCCTGCACCATTCCTCAGTTCCCACCGAGTCAGATGCATGCGATGTTTGTCCTGCAATAATATTCACCGTGTCTGCCTCGCTAGGTTTTCCCTTGGCACGATCGTATATGTGTATACAGTATAATAGTTATGTAAGCTACGTTAAGATTACGTCATGGATCTGTAGTAACGTAACATTAAGAAGAAGAAGAAAGGAAATAATTTACAAAACTACCTTCGGAGAATGCATTGGGTCTGACATGTAGGTTCAAAGGTACACCGATAACTAAAATAATTATTATAGCTACGTGGCAAGCACAGCTAAAATAACCCAAATGCAGCACAAGTCAAATACATAACTATAATTTTCGATTTAAAGCTTTCGTGACTGCATGGATTCATCTTCTTGGTTTTTTCGGTAAAGTCACGTAGAAGGGAAGTAATAAATGATAAAAATAAAATTATTTTATTATATTATATTATTTTATTATATTATTTTATTATGTTTTGTTTCTATTATTTTAACTATAATCGATGTGGCGGGCTGGGTTTGACGCTCTTTTATAGATTAAATTATACTTGCCTGGGGTGTCTCCCTGCAGGCTAAAAAGGGCACATTTACCAGGAGGCCTTGTTTACGTGTGTGCAACGCGGATTATAGCAATCACGCAGGACAAACACACCAGAGGAGCCCCAGAAAAAAAAACAATGGAATGGGGCTGGTGGAGACTTGTGTGCAGACATTGCAGACAGCAGAGCCTTCAGCTTGGCGGTTATCCGATATTCAATTTGAAAAAAAAAAGACGAGACCCTTACGTCGAAGCAATATGCGCCAATGTGTGTTTAGGCTCTGTGCCTGATTAAGCTAGTGCCGGGCCTGTAGCATATGCTATAAAGGGGCCCTATATATAAAAATAAAAAACATACAATTTTAACTTGCACAGTAAAGTAATTGTATTCTTAGGTTTTTTCGGTAAAGTCACGTAGGTAAAACATTAAAATTAATAAAAGTAAAATAAAATAAAAATCACGACGTTTCGGAGGCAACACAAGCTTCCGTCTTCAGGTGGAACCGTCACAGCCACGACAGCTGTATCAAGTAAATGAGAAATTGCAAGAGCTACCACTCCGTTTAAATAATGGTTGGAGAGGGGGGAAGGGCCAAGTACGGCACACTTTTTATTCATGAATAAACGTCGTGATTTTTTTTTACCGGAAAAAACCTAAGAATATGAATCCTTGCAGTCACGAAAGCTTCAAATCTAGAAAGTAATTGTATTTTTTCATTTGCTATAAAGCCAGATAATACGACAAATCGCTAACCTTAAACACCCAGTCGTTCATAAAAGTTGAAGGCAGTATAGTACTATAATAAAGTGAAGAATTAGTAAACCGGAATTGATAGCTTGAAAGCATTTAGCGCGGAGCCCTTGAAAGTGCGGGGCCCGTAGCATTTGTAGCTACTCTTGCTACTTGGATAATCCGGCACTGTTTAGGCTGCCTAGAAATTGGGGGTAAATGCCTCACATTTTGCGTTTTGAGCATCGCCAGAGTGCAGACGCTTCACTCCAGACACCTGATAAGCTCCTCGCCAATCAGAAAAAATATTTGTAGATCAAGGAGCAAAAAAGGGATGAACCCTACTCCCCAGGATGAAATACTGTGTGCGTAGCCTGCATGGACGTTATCACGAGACACCTTGCAAGCCCGCCAGAGGGCTACAATAGCGGTCTAAATTACTTTCCCAGGTTAAATAGCTTCAGGTGTTGCCATTTATATATTTCAACGGAACAGAACATTGCCATAGTGCATCACTGTCACCATTATTAAAGCCGATTTCTTTTTTTTCTTTCCACCTGAAGAAGACCGCTTGTGTTGCGATCGAAACGTCGTGGGGTTTTTTAAAATGTTGATTCGCATTTTTTATCTACGTGACTTTACCGGAAAAAAATACAAGAATATGAATTCCTGCAGTCACGAAAGTTTTAAGTCTAAAATTAAATCCGATCTCCATTGTACAGCCGCCCTATCCCCAGGACACAATTGTGCCTGTGGCTAACAGACAAAACAATTCGTCATCGTCAGTGGCCATGATCAATCCGCTGCTGGATCGAAGGGCCTCTTTCGAGACGTGTGCGTTCGACTCCCTTGGCTGTCACTCCTTTCGTGATTCCCTCCTTCCCTCCCACACCCCCCACCCCCCACCCCGCCCATCCCACACTTCGGCCGTCATCCCTTGTCACCACTGTGATTCGCCCAAACCCACGTTGTGTAACACATTGAACTGCACTTGTATTGCTTCGTGCCAGCCTCTTGTCAGAGCTGTCGGTCAAAGCATACCAGGGTAGCTTAAATTACCCTTGACAAACCTGCAGCTTGATAATTGTTTTTTACCCTTCTATCTGGCAACAAAACTGACACCTTTTTACAAGGAGTCATGTTTGCATAGACCACAATACCTGCAGTCACAATGCAAACAAAAAACACAACTCTGATAATGTCAGTTTTGCTGCCAGATAGAAGGGTAAAAAACCAATGATCATATTTTTACTGCCAAATGAGGTTCCAATGGTGTAACCTGTAGCTTGTCAAGGGCCTTCTCAGCCATTTGAACTTGATGTATTTAACACGAGTGGTGGGGTGGGGGGGGTAAGTATTGCAAATGAAAGATGGTGAGGTCATGAAATAAAATACGGATGCTATCAAAGACCATTCTACAGATGAAAATGAGACACTGCCTTTATGTTAGCCTAACGGCTTGAGAAAAAGCATTACAATGGAACACATTTTTACGTGGTACTCGATTGGCACTGGTGCACAAGCACAACAAAAACAGCGTATTCATAGAAGGGGCCATTGCCTGAAACGTTACTTTTTTCCTTCTAGGGCAATGTTATTTATGGAAATACGTTGATGTGGTATACAGTATGTGGTATATCATGAACAACAATGTGGATTGATATAGAACGTCTACAAAATGACTGCATCCTCAGGATGCTGTGCAAAAAAAACTGTAAAAAAAACCAATCTTTCACTGGAAGAACAAAAAATTCCCCGTGCCACCATCGTAGCCGTGGCAGGCCCTGCGGGAGTCGCCGCCACGTGGAACGGCGACCATGGCAAGGGCCAAGAGGCAGTGGCAGGATCAGGCCGGAAACGAATTAAAAAAAATAATGAAAAGCAATAATAATAAAACATAAATAAATTAAATAACGGAGGGGATTAGCACATTTTAAATGAGTTGGGGGGGGGGGGTGACAGCGACAATCTGAAGTGCTCAGTGGCACTCATTCCTTTTCACAGGGGGATGGAAGACAGGCACAGCCAAATCGTGGCCATCGTCCCATTAAGGACCCATTCGGAATTTGTGGAATTTACCGTCACAGTTAAGCCATCTTGCGGCCAATCATAAGGACAACACACACAAAAACCCCATCCTAGATTCTGTAATTACAAACAGCATCTACAACACTCTCTTTGCTCCCCACGACTCTGGAAGATTTGCAATCACATTTGCTTGTTATTTTGAAACGCACTGCCACGGGTGGCATAGTGGCACAACGATCGGTGCGACGATCGCGTGGCCAGTTTCCACGGAGGTACAGTTTGAGTTCATCATCAGCTTGTTAACATTTTCTGAGCAGGGTCAATCAATTGAATAGCACTTTGCGGGGAAGTCAACGTCCTATGGGTAGATTCAATCTTGCCGTAAAAAATTGAATATCCACCAATAGCTCGAACCTCTAAACAGAGGACGAACCACCGCTTCAATGATCATTTGAGTAAGAAATCACTTTGCCTTTGAGTACAAAAGTATGGTAGATCATCAGAGGGTGATGAGGTGACATTCGGGGTAATGACACGGCCTCACGGTAGCGCGTTTTCGCCGCCTGCCGCGGAGGGTCACAGCTCGAATCCAGTGTTCGGCCCGGTTATTTTTACGTGGGGTGTATTAACCGAAGAATAATACAGGCCGTCTGCTTCACAGTGATAATTTGCGATCACGTGACATCATTCGCAAGTTATGCATGGCAATCATAACTGCCCTGCTGGAAAGGCAAAGCTTGGCAGAACCCATCCTGAAAAAATTAACCCGTAAAAACAAAGTTTTTCACTATAAATCCTTTATATGCGTGGCATCGGTTTTATGTTATTATTCATTTCTGTTTTTTCTTGAGTACGCAAGCACGCAAGCAAGCAAGCGAACTTAATATAAAGGATTTAAAAATATATTCGCCTGTGGAGAACGCGGGGATCGATCCCGCGACCTTTGGCATGGGAAGCGAGGGCGCTACCAACTGCGCTACTCCGCCACTGCCTGTGGAGGGGTTATGCTCTGGGCTCCTACACTGTGACGTTCAGCCAAAGCCATGAATGAGTTCTATTTGAATAAATGTAAAATAAATTTTTGTTGCCTAAAAAGTCTAAAATTTTTGCATTTTTTTTTCACGAACATTAATTGTCTCGCACAACGAGTCTGTGTGCAAAATGTCAGCTCGATTGGATCACGGGAAGTGGGTTAAAAAACGACCGAAAGATTTGCACGGTCGTAAGCAAGCAAGCAAGCACGCAAGCACGCAAGCAAGCAAGCGAACTTAATATAAATGATTTAAAAAGGCCAGAGAGTGAGACTTTCCTGGCTAAACAAAACGTGATAATACGAAAAATAATACATTCTAACTAAATACCCTTTGACAGAATTTCTCTCTCCTCCACTCTCACCTCTCATCCACCAGGTGAAGCAGATCATGGAGGAGGCTGTGACAAGGAAGTTTGTTCATGAAGATAGCAGCCACATCATCACCTTCTGTGGTAAGCCGAGGCACGTGTGTGTGTGTGAGTTTCTGATTAAGCTGTGACCAGAGTTAGATTCCTGCTTACGGCCAACACCAGTGAAAATTTTATCTGAATCGGTCCTGGGCCTCCTCTAGGTCTACTCAGCCTCAAATTAGTACCTGGTGCGGAGTGTAAACTTCGCCACTGCGAAGAAAAAGGCGGTCGGGTGTGCCGTGCTCGCGAACAGCACCTGCCCCTAAAGTATGTTCAGATATCAGGGGGGATCTTTGTCTCTTTGAGCGTGAGCATTAAATGTACCCGATATCGTCGTTTGGACATTGTAAGGTATGCAAGGCTGAGTTTGGTTCGTACTGACAGTACCTGGATGGGTGGACACCAAGGCTTGGCAGATGTCTTGGAACTGGGGCTGCTCAATAGGAGATGAGAGTGTTGAGTGTGACACCGAATGTGTGTGGGTACTTGGGCACGTAGTCTTTTTGATTGGACCAAGTGAACAAATCCACATTTTTTACCGAAAACATGGGATTTGTCACCAGGAATTTCTGCCAAGGTTCAATGACTCTTGCATATATAATTACACCTATCATGGTTTCTGGTCCAGGAAGATAAACTGGCCAAAGGCATACATTTCCTTAAATTCCTTCCTAAGTCACCCTGTCCAATCGTGGCTTTCAACCCCTTTGATGTCATCTCACTGCTGCCATCTCTTCCACTGTCTTGCTCTTCACCTCCTGCCTTCTCCCTCTTGATGTCCACTCCGTTGTTAATGTTGTCCACCTCTCATTCCGTTCTTTTCACGGCATCTAAAACGTTATTCTCTCTCGCGCGCGCGCGCGCTAGATCGGGCGCAACGTTGTTGCGAGCGTGAGAATCCATTTTCGACTATGAATCGATGCGTCGTCACACACGCGCACGCACACGCGTACCGCCATGCAGCGGGGAAACACGCGTTCGGATGCAAGCGCTTCCCCCTTTGGGCCAAGGTGTTCGGAGCCACAGATAGAGATGGAAGGGGCGTGGGGTGGGGGTAGGCAGATGGAGGGAGTTGTGTGTGGGGGGGGGGGTCACGCGACGCAGCACAGATCTTCAGGCTGCTTTGCTCACTGCTCAGCAAACCGTGGCATGAATCCTGCGTAACACCCACAGGCAGGAGCCAAATCTCGGGACGATGTGGAGCAGGCTGCATAATCCAATTTTAATCCGGCAAGGATTTTTTTAAATTCTTATTATAATTTTTTTTTTGTTAGAGTTGCTTTATCGTTGCTTTTTTTTTAGCGATTGTGCTGTTGGCATCGGTTGAATCCGTCAAGGTCTGTTTAACTGTTTATACTTCGTCTCGCTAATTACATGAAAAATTGAGTGCGAGTGATTGTGTTTTTTTTATATCTCTCTACATTTTATATACAAGTCATTGTTAATCAGGCCGAGGTCCTCGTTAGAATGTATTTTTTAAATCCTTTATATTAAGTTCGCTTGCTTGCGTGCTTGCTTGCGTGCTTGCTTGCTTGCTTACGACCGTGCAAATCTTTCGGTCGTTTTTTTAAACCACTTTCCGTGATCCAATCGAGCTGACATTTTGCACACAGACTCGTTGTGCGTGACAATTAATTTTCGTGAACATTTTTTCCCCAAAATTTTACACTGTTTAGGGGAACATTTTTAAATATTTAATTACCAATTGCTTAATGCTGCCAGACAATCATCTGACCCATAGGTGGCAGCCATCTCAAGCCAGAGGACGAGAGGACTCTAGCCGCCACGCATATAAAGGATTTATAGTGAAAAACTTTGTTTTTACGGGTTAATTTTTTAAAGTGTGCGTCCGCTGGCTTGAGGCGCATCGTGTTCAGCCGCTGAGCCGCAAGACATCGCACTCACACTTTGGTGCGCCGCTTGAATAAATGCACCGCGGTGTTCGAAAAATAAACAAAAACATCGTAATTAGTTTTGCCACCACAACTCGTTACATTTACCGAACATTCATTATGCAGCCTTCGTCGGCCGTGGAGTTTGTTAGTTTGTGTTGGAATAGCAAGAGCTTTTGATTTATTTCGAAATGCCTTTTTCCTAAAATGAGGGAGCGCAATAATGAATTCACACGATGAGACCTCCTTTACCAGTGGCAAAATATACCCTTTCAACTGGTACAAAAACTGACACCTTTATACAAGGGATCATGTTTGCAATAACCACAACACAAGCAGTCAAAATGCAAACAAAAAGAAACAACTCTGATAATGATAATGATATGCACTGTCCTTGAAGTTATTACAATAATGAATTCCCCTGTCGATCGGCGATCTTGGCGATGCAGTGATGACAATTCATTGAGAGGATCGTTTTCTTGTTTCACCGCGCCGAATGGCGATGCCTCGAGTTGCTGCTGGAATGACACAAACCCATTACCTACAATATGTTTTTGAATCGCCGATAAATATTTTTAAACGTTTCCCTTTCTTCGCGTGGGCCTCACAGTGCACAGCTTCAGAGTTGTATAATAACACGTCAGATTTTCCCCGACAAACATTGATTTCCCCTTCATCTCCGGCCTTACGTGAACCCAAAGCACTTGCACAGTTGCCCAAAGCCCCGGGAAAGTTGGAGCGAGACGTCTTTCTACATCGATGGAAAAAAAAACCCACATCAATTCTTAAATATGCGACTCCATTTACAGCCCAACGTCGCGCTGGAGACTGGCTTGAGGTAGATTATGGATATGTACAAAGGTTGGATGCGTGAACTTCCGTAGCAAATGACAGCTAGACCGTGCTCATACCGCGCTGGGCGCACGCGGTTAATTGGTCAGGGCAGACACGTGATGGCCGGATGCGCAACGTGGCTTTCGTGAGATAAAGGTTCATGTTTCATCAATGAATTGACATAATTCCACCCGTAACTAGCAGACGGACAAACGAATGCACAAGGGGGTTAAATCCGCAGAGTGGATTCCTTCGAACCTGACATCAAACATTACGAGAGCTATAAGCCCTCTGTAACGAGCTTCGTACACATTAATATCCGGTCAAAATGTGCGAACTTCATAGCGATTAAATGACACAAAAGTGGTGTCCCACGCGGTACGGAGATGCGCGAGTGGAGGGCACTTCGACAGATTCGTGCGGTTCGAGAAAAGTCACGACGGTCGTCACTGACACGTCCGTCAGCGCTCGCTTCATCTCCCGTGACGGGGGATTGGCACCGACCGTGGCGGATGTTCGCATCGTTTACGAGCCTCCGGGCGATGCCAACTCGTTTACAGGTGACCTACGTCTTCTTGGTTCTTTCGGTAAAGTCACGTAGAAGGGGAAAAAATAATAATAAACAAATAATAATTTATAATAAAACATAATAAAATAATTATTTTATAATAAAACATAATAAAATTTTAATTTTTCGATTTAAAGCTTTCGTGACTGCAGGGATTCATAAAACATAATAAAATAATAAAAAAAAATTTTGGTTCTTTCGGTAAAGTCATGTAGAATGGAAATAATAAAATAATAATAAATAATATTATTTCCATTCTACGTGACTTTACCGAAAGAACCAAGAAGAAAAATAATTATTTTATTATGTATTCATTTAATTATTTTATTATTTCCCTTCTACGTGACTTTACCGAAAGAACCAAGAAGATGAATCCCTGCAGTCACGAAAGCTTTAAATCAAAATTTAAAGGTGACCTACGGTTTGGGACACCACGGTGGAGAGATGTTAACAACCTCGCCTGGTGTACAGGAGGTCATGGGTTCGATTCCAACCCTGACGCCTGCTGATGTATATTTGAAGTTTTCGTCTCTCTCTCCGTCTCTCGACCCGTGGTTGTGTGGATTTTTCTCCGGGTCCTCCGGTTTTTCCATCCACATTTAGAATCAACATGCGTTTAGAGTTTTTGGCTGCTGTATATTTCCAGACGATAAGCCACTTCGTTGAGCAATCATTCGTGGCCAGGGCGCTTATAAAAAAAAAGCTATACAGCTCAGAGGGCCTTACCTGGTAAAATAAAAATAAAAGTTTATAAATCAAATATTTTATAGAATAATAACCCCGGGATGCAATCAGTGCGGCAGGGAAGCCAGGCGATGTGGAACTCATGAGGCCGGTAACAACTGTGACGTTGATTTACCGCCGCACCATTTAAAAGGGCACCACTGCGTGTCTGTTGGCCGATGCGGGCGCCTTTCACGTTCGCTTTTCATTCTCGAGCCACCGCCTTGGCCACTGCTGCCCCGCCTTCGGGGCGACGGGGACATCGACGATTCTGATCTGCGAATGAGCAGAGATGCCGACGGCGGCGGCGGCGGCACCCAGCAGCGTCCGCGCCACGCGCCGCGCGTCCCTCCGCGCGTGCCGTCAAATCTAGGAGACGTCAACTCGTTGCTGCCGCAGACCAAAAATTGACGGGCAAGGAAAAGTCGGCGGACGCGCGTGAAATGGGGCCCACGGTTTGCAGCACACGCTCACCCTGGCGCTCTGCTGGGTTGTTAGCGCGGGCTCGCTACATCGTGCCACGCGGCTTTGAACGCCTCCCACGTGAAGCCTCGCGTCAACACGCGTCCCGCTGAAACCAAAACGTGATGCCCAAGGCAAACGTGGAAATTGCAACCACGTGCGGCAGACGTGAAAGGATCGTGGCCAATCCAAGAGCTGCTGGAATCAGACCGAAAGGTCGGGCGACGTGGACCGGCCGCCCTGCGCGGCACCCGCGACGCCGATTTGACGCGAGTCAGAGTCGTGATGGAGCTGGACGGAGGTTCGTGGTTTTTCGCAAGGTGCGGTGGCGGTGGGGTTGGCGGTGGGGTGGCGGGGGTGGCGGGGGGCGGATGCGAGCCGTGGCGCCGCTGGGTACCCGGCCGTCTCGGTGGGGTTGGGGATCCGCGCGTGCGTCACAGCCGGAGAGGGCCGCTGTGTGACGGGAATAATGAGATTTCTCCCCGCTCTGACGTGCGCGACGCCCCCCCTGCACTCCCCCCTCCCCCCCCCCCCCATCCGTCTTACGCCCACAGATAACCGAG